GATGCAGATAATTAGAGCCCTATATTGTATAAATATTTGCCCCCGGCAGCTTCAGTTATTTAGAAACAGGGGCGGTCTTTTGGGGGGGGGGGGAGGGGTCGGCCAGGTGTTTGTGGCCTTGCTCATGCCATATGTTTATTTGAATTTTGCGCCTTACGCCTCGCATTATAAAACCACGACACGCTACTCGTGCACGATTTACGCCCGGGGATTTCCCATGTTTATTTAGCCTGTCATTTTGACAGACTGTTAGTATCAACTGTCGTCGGCACAGGGTACAGTAATATTATTAGAGACGTCGTTGACTTATGCTTTTATGTTCGATCAGTAGTGTGATTAAGGTTTTTTTGAATTTTGTATTTAATTATCATCATTAAAACGAATTTTACAAAAACACAAGGGTCTCGCAGCTATCTACCTTTTTTATATGCGGCATCCCTCTCGGGCCGTCACCCCACCGGATCACCGGGTCACCGTATCGAACCGAATAAAACCACACGGCGTGCCACTTCGCGCTTGAGATGGGAGGGGTCCGGGAACATCTGTTATTAAGACATCCCGACTCCTCCTGGTGCTCCTCCTTCGGGTAAAATCTCAGACCTCAGATTACCCGCTAATGCATGCCGCATTATTAAATATTTGTTCCGATTCGAGTTCACCAAAGGCGGTATGCAAGGGTTGCGGGGGACGTGTCAAATGCGTTAAAGTCAACCTTAGATTGCACAGAATCATACTGATGGGACAAGGTGGGAACGTTGATAGATTAAATATTTTGCTCTGTTTAAATCTCTGTTTATTAAATTTATTTTATTAATGATTTATTGATAAATGATGATAAATAAATGACTTTACTTTAACTTTACAGGAGAACCAAACAAGGTTTTAAAAAAAAGTGGCAGCAGCATCAGGGAAACGCTCTATTACCACGAGGTGACTAACTATCTGCGGTGGCTGTACTCTCGATCTCACCAATGTTATAAAAAGTATTATCACAGTAAAGTAAAACAAGCCATTAAATTTTAAGAGATTCAATTTTCGGTCACTCTACGCTATAATCACATTACAGTCATTGTTGGATGTTTAAAACTCTAGGAGAATACCCTTTACTACATTTGGGAGATCGAGAGGAAATCGGAACTAAATTTGAACGAATATTTATTACGACGATTTACCTTCAGATTTTGATTAAGTCAAATTTTCATTGAAGACAAACTAGTCTTTGCATGGCATAAGACAAACTAGTCATTGCTTTTGTAATCCGATTAATGATCTGATTTCTTTGATCTTTTTTTTTTCTTTCTTTTATAAAAGGCATCTCTTGCATTAGGCAAATATTCTGTGTCGCGGGGGACTCTCCATACATACATGAAACGAACACCAAGAACACCCAGACTCAGAACAACAATCGTCCCATGTGGGGATTGGACCCACAACACTCAGCGTAGTAGCAAGCGGCGTGGCGACCGCCTAAACGACTACACCATCATCCGTGCTATCCGTAGGTATTACACAAGATAACATTTAATCATGATTAAGTTGTAATCATTAATCGTGATAGAAGTACCTAATGAAAGATTATTTGTATTCAATATTTGAAATGTAATTTATGCCCTAATGAGATTAAAGCGTGCAATAAAGTAGTAACGTATTTGTTACATAAGGGGAAACGATCTTTAAATAAATATAAAACTATTTCTGTATGTTTGTGGCTGCAAAATACGAAAAGTAGTCACTTTTAATCAAGCGTTATTTATAAGTGGGTAGGTACATAATTATTTAAAATTCCCCCAGGAACTGAAAATATATTTTAAAATCAAATTTTACCACGGTAAACAAGCATATTAAGCTGCAAGTCAATTTGAAATGCACATGAATACTTTCAAACATATCTAACAGACTAATATAAGATTTAAAAAAAAAAAATTAGAATACCTACATACAACGATCTAATTCAACCAATCCAAATAAAATTTCTTGTTCCTATACGAGTATATAATCAAGGACTTTGATATAAGTAAAAAAGTAATCAAAATTGATTTAAGATTACTTACCATTAATCTGTTCTGCTATTACTTTTTTTATAAATTGATTTAATTGATTAAAGCTTATTTAAGAATTAAATTTTAAAAATTATGACTAAGTACATTGATCATAATATTTATATGGATTATAATTTGCCCAATATTGCGGACAAAACGCGCCAGAAAAAAAAGTAGGTTCATTCATAATATAAATTAATGCCACGTGGCATTGAAAAAGATTCAGGAATGCTCAAATCCAGATTGCATAACAAAAACATGTTACAACTTCATTGCTCACGGGCTGCTTGCAAAAACAATAATAATAAAAAAAAACTTTTTCTGCCTAATTAAGTCCTATGCAGTCCAAAAGGCAGATTGAATGAAATATATAGTAGAAAAGTTTTTATTTAATTTAAAATGTAAAAGACTCTTCTGACGACACTATGTAGACTCTATGTAGTATATCTGCAGCCACAGAAAGCACATTTAGCGCTCAAGCTCATATTCGTAACGTAAAATGGAATCCTCTGCCAAATTACGTTTATATCATATAATTGCAATATATAAAAAAAAATGCATAAGCACCGATGAACAGGTTTTTTTCCCCCCTTTCCTTTAGGGGGTTATGGGTGAATTGGGCTTTTAAGGGGGTGACCAAAATTTTTCAATTTTTTAATTTTAAATTCAAGGGGAAAAATTTTTTACATTTTTTTGTACTAAAAAATTTTTTTATTTATTTTTAAAAAAATTTTAAAAAATCTGGATAATTTTTTTTTAAAATTTCAAAAAATATAGTTCTGTTAAAAAACCCGGCTTAACAAAATAAACAAGTTTTAAAAAAATTTTATTTTTTTTTTAATCAAATTTGCCGGCTACAACCAAAGTCCATTTACAAGGCCCCCTTTTTTTTTTTAAAACGTTTCTTCCCAAAACCGGTTTAAACCCTTTTAAACCTAATGGGTCCAAACCTTTGTCCGCTATAAGAAACAACAAGGAAAAAAAACTTAATAAAATAATTTAATTAAAACAAATTTTTTAAAAATTTATAATCTCCAATAAGGTACATTTTTAAAATTGTTTTTTCTTCCCAAAACCCCCTTTTAAAAGGTTGAAATTTCAGACTGTTAAGTTTTTTTTATTTAAAAAACCAAATTTTGAAAATTTTTTTGGTCCCCAAAAGAATTTTTTAAAAAAGGGAAAAAAATATTTTTAAAAAAAAATAAATAAAAAAAGTTATTTTATTCATTTTCATATAAAAATTATTTTTTGAAAAAAAAAAAAGATAAAATTTTTTAAAAAATTTAAAAAAGGGCCCCTTTATTACTTTTAAGCTTTTTTTTTTTTGGTGTTTTTTTGGGCAACGTTTACAAAATCCCCAATATTAAAATTTTTTTTTTTAAAAAAAAAAAATTTTTTTTTTTAAAAAAAATTTTAAAAAGTCAAAAACCCCGGTTTTTTTTTTATGGGGTTTTTGGAAATATTAAAAAATTTTTGATTGGGTTCCCTTAAATAGAAAAGTAAACTAAAGAGCTTGAGGGGCTAAAAAATTGTTTATTGTTGGGGGGCGGGGTTAAAATTTTTTTTGTTTGAAGAAACAAGGGGAAGTTTTTAATTTTTAAAGTTTTAATATTAAGAATGTTTAATTTTTTTAAAATTTTTTTTTTACAAACGGGTTTTTTTTTTTGTAAAACAAAAACTTTTTTTTCGTTATTTTCGGTTTTCCTTTTGCCTTTTTTTACATTAAGATATACTCGTTAAATTTTTGTATAATCATCCAATGAAGGTACATTTTTAATAAGATGTGTTGACATTCCATTCCCAACAACTCCTATTGAAAAGGTTGACATTACAGACTGTTAAGTGTTTTATGTAAAGGTTTGCATGTAAACGCAAGCTTGTTCTTGTATCAATAAAGTTTTTGCAGTAACAAAACGCAACTCCTAAACGGAAATGGCGCTAATTCAAAAGTATTTTCAATAAATTTCACTAAATAGTTGAAATAAAGGGCTATATTTTAAGTTCAATTGTACTGCAGTAATAACAATCTATTTTGACTGGAACCAATTAAAGTTGATAGAGTTCTCAATTATTTAATAAATATCATTTTCGATACATACAGGTTCATTTAAATTACTTTGTAGATGGCGCTATGTCGCTTGTTTTGTGTGCGGTCGTTCGTTCGTTCGACCGACCGACAGATATTCGACAAGTAAGATGGCGGCGATTAATGTGAAAGGCGAAACGTTGTCTTATTTGTACTTGTAAATAAAGTTATTACTTTTTTGAAATATTATTGTCAATACAACCACGGCAGAAGATTTAATATTTCAGAGTGTAATTTGTTTAGTGATCTATTGTGTACAACCTATGACTTGAAACGCTTTTCATTTCACAATAGACAAAAGTACAAAACCCGTCGCAACGAGCTCTTGAGGAGTCGAGGCCATATTTATGATGTTATCTGTTGTGTGAGCGTCCTCCGAAACCACATTGATATATGGTTGTGGAAAACCAAGGCGATGGTATGTTTCTCTGCACATATTCATTATGATAATAACGTGACAGAGAAATAAGATTTTGTATTGTTCCGTCACCCATTGACGCTTGTGTAGCGAAGCACCGGATTATTTTTATTGTATTACAACCCTAACGTTAATTTTTCAAAAGAATAAACATTTATGTATCAATAATTATATCCATTTCTTTCGTAAATGTAATGTTTTGGTAGAAAAGCATAATTGGTTTTTCTTATAGGAACATGAGTGTGTTGTAACCCTATTGTTTTGATATTTCAAGTTATTTTTATTTCTTTTCAGGAGTGTTTTACCTCTATAAAGAGTAAATAAATTCAATATGGGATCGAGTGCACTAGTAAGGTGGTAGTAGCAACAAAAATTGTGTTCTACAAACTATGGATGACAGTGTGGACTTCTATTGACATATTACATACATTGAAATTTGAGCGTCACGGAGGTGGTAATGGATCCAGTAGGACCATGGTCAGCCTATTCATACAATCGGTTAGCAGGGGTTCAGGCCGGTGCTGCAAGTGGAGATTTTCATCACCACCTAGCAAGTGGTGGTTCTGGATTAGGCAGCCAATCAGTGCCATCTACTACAAGTCAGTTGCTATTACAAGCAGCTCATACAACAGCATCATTAGCAGGACAGCTTGGTTCAAGTACAGCACCATTTAACCCTGCAGGATTTCTGTCTCCACCGGCAGTTGGGTATGATGCAGTGTTTTCTCCACTGTTTCATCATGCAAACCCAAAACCTGCACACTATAGTTCTTCCGCTCTGCAAGCACAGCACCGACAAGTTATAGCTCAAGCTCAGGCAGCAGTTGCCTCTAAACAATCTTCTGTGGAATCAGAACTCTCATCTTTAAGAGAAAATTATTCTCATCAAACATTAGCAGCACAAGGAACCTCATTTTTTGATCAGTCTTCAACTCCAGGCAGCACTACAGGGTTAAGTTGGCAAGGAAACAATCAACTGCCTAGCCCATTTGGAATTTTACCACATGAAAGTGTTGTGCCTTCTTCTCCAAGCCCAGCTACGACTAAAGCATCAGCAACTTATGAAAATTTTAATGCACACTTTGCTGCAGCACAAACTCTCAATAACCATCTCAACTCACAGATTTCTAGTGCTGGTAAACAGACAAATAGGTCTGGGTCGCCAGCCACTGCATCTAAACAACCAGCAACTTCAACATCATCAACATTTTTTCAATCTCCTTCTTTTGGAAACCAGAACGATAATTCATATAGTACAAGCAGTGCAAAGAGTGGTCAACTTTCATCACAACAGGATTATGCAGGAAGTAAGTCCTATTCAAGTTCTGCAAGTTCAACTGTTCATTCACAGCAATCGTGTATAGTGTCAACTCCACCAGTCACCTCTTCCTCTTCTCCTGCCAGTAAAGATTATAGACCCACATCCAGTTCTACCCCAAGGCCCTCGGCATCCATTTATAATTCACAATCTCCCAAAAATAATAGTAATGAAAAGTCTTCAAGAACAAATAGTATAAGTAGTTTTGTGTCTCCTACAGTCAAACCTTCTCAAGTACAGACTAAGGCTCAAAGTAAAATATATCCAGAAATAAGTACTAATGATCAAAGAAAGAGTTGTGATTCCAATGAAAAAGTACAACCACAGTCATCCCCAATTAGTTATTCAATAATGGATGCACCTGGTAGATTAAATTACAGTAGTAGTAGTGGTGGTAATTCAACTAAACCAAATAGAATAAATAATTCCCAGTATTCCACTACTCAGAATTCTAGTTTTAGACATTATCAAAGTGGGAATAATATTGAATCTGATTACCATGTCAGAGCCAAAAGCAGCTCCAGTACAGATACTGGATATTCTAGTAGTAGTTCACAAAATGGTCCAGATTGTGGAGTGGTTGTGCCTAGGAGACCAAGTCCCTCCCAAGTGGCACCACAAACTTCTCCCTTAGATCATGGTTCTAGTCCTGCATATCCTATGTACCACAGTCCTATGAACTCAATAAATTCTCCACAACAACATGGTGATCACTATAACAAAGTGACTAATACTGCACCTAGATCTCCGTTAGATGCATCTGTAACCAGATCACCCTCTCAAAACAGTCAAGTAGCTTACCCCTCAGTAATAACTAGAGCTTTAGGTCTTGAACAAACTAAATCTTATAATGAAAGTAGATATGAAAGAAATCAAACTTCCAGTCAAAGTTGTTGGGAGAGTGATAGACACACACCCAGAAAATTTTCTAGCAATAGTACTAGTTATAATAATGGTGGTTTAACAGTAAATACTCATAACGAAGAACCTGTTTCTCAATCTTCCAGTAGAATTAGTATACCAGACAAACAACAAAACTATTTTGATGGTAGTAATGTTGCATTACAAGATCTTTCCAGTTGTCGTGGTGATCCTATGAGTATAGTAAAAAACTTACAAAGTCTTCAACAAAGCTGTCAATTACAAGATACAAAAACAAGTAAAAGTCAAGCTCCAGCATCAACTTCTGTTACACCAAGTAAAATACCCCCTAGAAGAAAAAGTGTTGATAAACCTGTCCCCCACACAAATATGAATGAATTGTCAAATGTGGTTATGGCTGATTATTTAGCAAATAGAATCCCTCCACCTGCACATAGTTCCACTAGTAATCAACAACAAAATGGTAGCTATTTTGATTTTGAGAGGTGGAATCTTCCACCACCTCCACCTAAAATGTTTCCTGGCACTTCAGCTTTTGGTTCACAAGCTCCCTTACATGCAACAAATTTTGCTAATCAACACCAAGCACTAGGCATGCCACATGGACACACCCTTACTTATTTTCCACCCTTTCATCTTGGCCCCCATCCTGAATTCCAGTCTTCAGTGGAGTTAACACCATTGTCGTCATTTAGCGAGACTCCACCTTCGGCTTCCTCGTCATCGTTTTCGACGCCTGAAACACGTGAAGAGGAACAGCCCAAGGTGGTAGTACCAAATATAGAGGAAGAACTTGGTTTCCTTGCAGAACAACGAGCAAATACTGCATCGTCGGTAGCACCCTCTTCACAGCAGCAGAACATTAACAGCACTTCACAAGACGCTACTTCAAAAATAATGGATAAAAAATTTAATGTTCCTGTCACGGGTCCCGGTTCAGGATTCATGGCTTCTTACTTGAAGTTTTTACAAGGAGAGCGTGATACTTCTCCTCCGCCGGCTGGCAGAGGTGCCAGAAAGTCGACGTGGTCTAGAACTACCAATAATACAACAAATAATAAGCCCTATGCTCAAAATGATCATAATAAAAGTCAGTGTGATACTAATCAAACACAAAGCGCAAATGGAGCTATGGCGCCAACGAACGTGATTAACGCAGGTATGTCACTTAGTAACCCAGTCATGAGCTCTTCCGCCAGTATGAGCAGTACAGGCTTGTTAGGTGCTAATCAAATACATGGCGCGGCAACGAATCTTCTTACGTCTCAGACAAAAGAAGACGATGCCCGTTATTATAATTTAAATAAGGATAGAAAACGAAAATATGATGGTAGTGAAGAAGCAGCATATGATGCAGAAGAAGAAGCTAGACGACTTAACAAGCCAGTGCTTAATGTGCCTAGTACGCCTTTGAATGATAAAGGAAAGAACAAGGGTCGAACAACAATGAACAAGCCGACACCGTCGGCGGTAGTGGCGCCTCAGCCGGCCGCGCCTAAGAAGCCACGACCTCCTGCGCCGCCACCCGTGACGTCGCTGCAGGCAGCGCCACAGCAACAATACTATTATCAACACCAGCCTGATGAAGGTGCGTTCAATTTATTAGATTTCCACTTAAGAAGTAGAGCGCGATGGTGAAGAGCTAGCCCTGAAGCTTGTATGACAGGAGCAAGCTAAATGCTGTTGAGGCAGAATATCGTGAAAACTTGTTACATTTTAACTGTGATAATGTAAATTTTTATTAGATAAAATCTATGATTATTATTTGTAAATATTTTCTGTGACAGAATTGTGATGTACCTATTCTAGTAAACGCTGATATTTTTAGGGTTAGCCTGTAACAAGATTTCACTTAAATTGTTGTTAATGACACATTATTAGTGCCATTTTATTGTAAATTGTAGAATTTGTGACTCTTGTCATACTCGCTACTGAAGGGGTGCTACCATTAATAATTCCAAAATTGTGGTATATTTTTTTATGGAATTCATACCATTGGGTGTCTGTTGTACATATGAAATAATGTATTGTATTTTACAGTATTTGAGATTAGTTAGTACTTACAATAGTGTATGCATATTCTATATAGCTGAAAGTGATTTTATATTATAAGGGAAATTATTGCATAATACATTGACAGCTATGAGTAAGTACGAGATATGTATTAGAAGGCCATGCCCGGAACATAAGTTTTTGTATTTCTATTTAATTGTTATTTGTTTATGCACAACTCTCAATATTTTATGTAAATAATTTTGTATAATAGGAGAAGACATAAAATAAACATGAGTATATTACCGATTATGTGTGAAATAATTTTAATTTGTAATTATTCCTGGTAGCACCCCTCACATCGCCAAAATAGGGATAACATGTACAATACAACAATAAAGAATTGTGAATTGTGTTATAATAATTAAATCGTAATAGTAAAATTGCAGTATTGTTATGTGTGTACATGTTATCACAGTGATGAATTCATTCATCAATTGGCAATCCTTTTCCTTTACCCATCCCACCACTATTTATAATGTTAACCCCTCCTATAAAAAGTATTGTAGGTCCATATTACATTGGTCATATAATTCTTTGTAGGAGTGTTAGAAAGTGAATTGTTTATCACATCACACATTCTTTTGTGTGAAGTACTCTAAAACTTGGGGGTAATAGTTTTTGTTTTGTTTAGTATTCATATTAACTTTAGTGAATCAAACTTTTTTGAACTCGCTACTTAACCACTACTACTTAAATATACTTAAGCAAAAAATAGATTTGTACACTGGAGTCAGGTTACTGATACGGTCATTTAATATAGGTACCTACCTCTTTTATGTGTAAAAATCTTTCATATATAATTAGCCTATTTTCTGTTCAGCTAGATTTGTTTTCTTAATTAGTTGCAGCTCATGGGGCTAACATGGGTTATGGGTTGTATGGCACGACAGATACTGACAATAAAGGAAACAGAAATATGCAGCATATGAAATCTCATCAACAAGTTTCCAGTAGTGGACAAGTAGACAACTCAAGACCAATCGAAGAAATGCCTTATCAGGTATGAACCAATTTATTAAGCCAAAGAAATAAATAGATATAGCTGTGTCGAATTATGATCTATTATGTGTTGTAGGCCAATTGTTGAACTGGGCCAATCGAGATCTGCCTAGGGCCCAGGCACTTGTCAGTGTATTATAGTCTGCCCAGGCCCTGGGCAGTCTTTGATACACTGGCAATAAGAATTTCTTAATTTGCCCTCATTCTAACACCCATCATATCTTTCAAAGATTAACATTAAATAATTGCCCATGGCAAATCCATTCGAGCAAGTGACGTTTAGGTGATCATAAAATTAGTTTATTAGTATGTATTTAAAATGACTTGTAAAATAAATAATGGTCAGTTTGTCGGGTGACCAACATTAATGAAAATAACTAGTTTTTTATTGGTTATCCAAGTTTTCTGCATTACGAATATAAGGACAACAAATTTATTATTTAAATATTCTTTGTCTAAATTTGCAATAGTATTGTTCAAGCTCAATAATGATTAGAAAAAAACATTATTTTGACACTTAACATAAAATTAAATAAATTGTCTAGCAGGATAAGGTAGGGTCAGGGGCCCCAGAAAGATATTTTGAAACTAACTCATTAGGCAACATAGGCGAGGTGTAAAACCACTATTAACTGAAATTCAGCCTGTTATGTCTCTGCGTTCTAGAGATAATTGATCAAAAAGACGCTAGAGCGGGTATTTTTCAAAATTATTTTTTTCGAAAACTATTACAGCTGCACTAATGAAACAAAAACTGGTCGTTAGACAAAATATAAGTCTACATTATATATTTTTTATAGAATTTTTCAGTTGTATTTACTATAAAAAATAATAATTCTAGATTTTATTCATAATTCACGCAGAGGTACAATCACAGAAAAAATATATAATGTAGCTTACTATGCCTAGTATTAGTACCAAAAAATGCATAAATAAAGAATGGGTGCAACACTTCCAAAAAAAATTAAAACTCCTTATGACCGTCTTAGGTAGGTACTAATGAATTCATATTTTTCTTTTGATTAAACTTTTTCATTATTCTAGACACGACAATAACATGTTTATTACTTAAAAACATATTTGATAGTAGTTAAAAATATAGGTATAACGTTGATTTCGACATATTACATTTATTACATTTGGGGATCGGGATTTATATTATTTAGATGCCGAAAATGGTAGCGAATTATCGAAAATGCAAACTGAAAACGGTCCAGCTTAATGTACCTGTCATGCTAGCTAAAAATCTGACGATAATTTTGCAGGGTATTTTAAATCTGACTGTAGGAAATATTTTTTGATTTTTATAAAATGTGAAAAAAAAGGCGCAAAAAATTATATGGACATTTAAAGATTTCTTGCATTGTTTGGTTCAAAATAAAATAAAAAACAAATGTTTTTTTTGAAATTTGTGACACCTCCCACTGCCTTGTCACTCAAATCGTCAGATTTTTTTAAATTTACAGTTATGTGTATTTGATTAACTCAACTTACCACAATCTCGCTCGAGTATTTCTGACCATCGATTTTTTTGTTACATTCCCAAATCTAGAGCTCCCCTACTACTTTAGTTCCATACATCACGTATAGAGGCGCAGCCTATAGGGAAAGACAAACGAGATAAATACTGCACATTTTTTCATGAACTTAATAGTAACATATTTAGAAGTCATTTCATTTACAATACTTATAATGTCTCATGGTTAGAGATACTTATCACAACCGTAACATTATTCCAAAAGGTTAGTTTTTGTCCGTAAGAACATTATTGACTGCACCAATTTTAAAAATATACTAATCCATACCCACATTATAAAAAAATGAAAGTGAGTTCGCTTGTTTGTTACGCTTTCTACTACTAAACCGATTTTAAAAATTATTTCACCAATGAAAAGCTACATTGTCAGCGAGTAACATAATTTTTAATTTTTACCACGATAACGATTAATACCGCATACGATCAAAAACTGCAATGTAATTATGCAAACAGCCGAAGCGTGCAGGTCCTTCTCCCCGGCCGCCAACTGGTATTAGTGTGCGTACTGTTTGCACGGAATACAAATGTAGTTTTTACTTTTGTGCGATACCTACAGGGAATTGGACCTTAACGTTTGACAACAGTATAAAACGTTTAATTTTCCGGCAGAAAATTACAATGATTTTCGACTCATGATGGTCTGAATGCCTTATGTTAAGACTAAAATACAGATGTGTTAGACGTAGTTGACTCTTTTAACAAAATAATTTGATCCGGAGGTGTCAGCTCATGTCTTAATTCCATACCCATAGCTCGATGTGGCAAAGTGACTAGATGTGCAAATCGTCGAATAGATTGCTCTCATCGATCTGCCTAATTATGTATTGGACTATACATAATTAGGAAGATCGATGAGACACTATAGGTAGATAAAATATTGTTTTCTGCAAAAATATGAGGCATTCAGAAATTGCAGAAATTCAGTTCCGATCAACTCTCGATTTCATAACTGCCATATTATTACATACTAGTTTTTTGAGAAGTGTCCGTTAAAACCAAAAATTATGTAATAATCTTTGCAGATATTTATCTACTTACGCTGTTCTGATGAAAGTTCGTTTTCTTTTTCTATATTACAACGATATCACTTGAACATTGTGAAACAAAACACCAAAAACGCACTACGTCACTAGATGTGTCAAATACAAGAATCGTAAAATGACTACCTACTTAATGAACCCCGAACTTTTATTGCTAGCTGCGGCGTTAGTCATTATTTTGAAATATTTTTAAAAGCAGACAAAAGTGCACGTGCACCTTTTTGTAGGGAGGACAACACTTTTGGCTCAGACTAAATACCTACTGAGCACTAAAAATGCGCACGGATGCGCGAAAAAAAGTTGTTTTTTAGTTTTGCTGACCAGGACGCATTGATCCCTTAACTATGATCTGAACTAAATTGCCAAAAAATTTTTTTTTTTCCCGTATTATTTTTAGATTTGTGCAGCCGCAATTAATTCATTGCTGATTTAATTTAGTCCAGTGAGTGACGGTAAAAATAAAGTGCAACCTCCCAATTTTCTCAAGAAAGGGATTTTCTTGAACAAATTGGCAGCCAAAAAACGTCATTCGCTGGACTAACTTGAAGTTTAAGCAAATAAATTCATAAAACTGCGGAAATTTAATTATACTTAATAATAAAAAGTACTAAACTACACTTCTTGCCACACAGACGAGGGAGTTGACAATAAACAATTTATCTTAGTTAATTATTATTTTTGCATTTCAAAGCAGGTAATGTTGGAAACGGCTTTGTTTTCTTTTTTTTATTTGTAAATGCGAATAGGTTAGTAATAGGTTGTGATGTACGGCGAAATTATACTATTTTGGAGTAATAGTATGGACATTGGTATTGCAAAGTATTTATTTAGGCGTTTTTTGTTTATTTCTATAAACATGATCATTGGCAGTGGTCATTCTCTATCAGGGATAGTTGGGCTATGCAATGCTCTATCGAGGCACGAATTTTACTATTATATAAAGCTGTTGCTTAACATCATGTTCTTTAACTTTAATCTGTTGATTAAATTCAAAGAACATGATTTTAAAACACTATGTTGATACCTTCCAGTCTGGAGAATTTATAGCCCTAAAAGCAGAATTAAACGAAATGTGGCCCGCCATTTGGAGAGTTGATGGGAAGACATTATTACAAAAGTATGAACCTTTTGAAGAAAATGGAAAAGTATTATATCGTAATATATCTACAGTAAGTACCTTTATGAATTTAAATAGGAATAAAATATAAGAGTTGCGTCTTCTTGTAAAAAAAATCTTGCTACTTGGATATAAAAACAGTCGTTGGACTCAGTGACCATGTAATGTGATTGATGTAACCCTATGATTAAGAATCTGTTTATAATTATGTATCCTAACGATATAATAATATGTTCTTATTTATGCTCTCTGTCCATCGAATGTTGGATAATTTTAACATCGTATAAAATGTGTCAGTTACGTTCAGTATCAAAAATGATTTTATTAATGCGACTATTCGTTATATAATTAATTATCTTTTTATTAATTGTCTGTCTTACTTAGTGTTACAGTAATGATTAAAGTAGAACTTGGTAAGCGAGTTAGGTTCTTGACAAAAAACTATAGGTACAATCGAACAGGGCTGCCTCGCTCAGATTTGAAATAGACGCTATAGGCAACCTACCAGAGGAGGAGTACCGCTTATTAAAGTAACTGTGATATGTGAATCTCATAGTCTACATGAATAGATATAGTTTAAAATATAAGTTCTTGGGATGTAACATTAAAAAGCAAAACAAAAAAGGTGTTGGTGTGGAATTCGTCTAATTATAGATTGATATAAAAAATACGATTTGGCACATACAAGGGTTCATAAATTTACGTTTTTTTTTCAGTATACCGTATGGAATCCCGAAAACAAGAAATTGTACACACAAATACCCGTAAAAGTGAGGTCACAATCTCACCTGGAAACTATAGTAGAGTTAGTTAGAAGTGAACTTCCATTTGATGATTGTAGTTTTATAGAGAAGAGGATGTTAGAGACTCAGATGTATCAAGAGAACTTTGAAGTTTATATACAAACTTTAATATCTCACGCATTAGACCCCAATTTTCTTACGGAAATATTTCAAGAACAAGGTAACCATCATAAATATTTCTATCTGTATTATGTAGTATAGTAGTAGTAGTTAAAACCGATAAATTCGATTCGTTTAAGTCAGGTTCAATATACAAGGTGTGTCAAAAGAAAGTTTATATTAATTCAGTCGCTATGGAACTTTTCTCGGGAGAGAACCGAGCGCTTTACTAAATTGACCTTGTAGAGGATTTTGCAATATTTGAGACTTTTGTCACTTAGATGCGCTAGGCATTCCTTTCCAATGAACAATCATCCAGAACAACGGAAAACCGGACGGAGAGTGTTGACCATCTGTGACTATCCGAACCTTGCAATTCTGACGTGCGCAAAAACACTTGGTCTAAATGTACATAGAACATCATTACACCGCATTTTACAATTTGAGCAAGTATCTAAAGCTGCAGCCCTAAAATAAACAATTGGTGTAAGAATTATAACTTCAAGAATCCAGTCATAGGCTTGAGTTTATAAACCAGCCAATTGAGCGCTTTTCGAGGTTTAACAACATCTTATTTTTTAATAAAGCTCATTTTCTCAAACGCAAGCATGAGAGACCACTTCCTTCACCGAAAGTGACTGTATATGCTGAGTTATTGGCACTTACTTTTTTGAAGATGGAAGTATATGTTCGGATGTTGAATTCAGAGCGTTATGTGGAAATGTTAGACAATTACTTAATGTCAGAACTGCAAAAGTTCCCTGGCTATTACCAAAGGACTTGGTTCCTGTAAGGCAGAGCAACCTCTCGCACGTCTAATACGACTCTGCCACGAGTACGCGAACATTTCACTGGCAACAAGTGTAACAATTCCTTAGCGCAATTGAAAGACAATATTCGTTGCAAAATGGCAGCCATCACGGAGTTGACGTTGTTGATTTGAGATAAGTTGAGTTAAGTACCGCAAACGCGAGGGTTTATATTTGGACGATGATATTTTTAACAAAAAAAATGGCCTTAGTGGTTGTTTGTTGTGCAGTGTGTTTTGCGTTGTCGTGAAGCAACAGTGCCTACAGCGATTGACCAATCTCGTTTGTTTAGCAGATAGTTCTTCCTTCATGGTTTGCAGTTGCTGACAATAGATATCTGCCGTAATCGTTTGGCCAGATTTTAGAAAGCTGTAGTGTACGACACCGGCGCTAGTCCACCAAACACTTACAAATAACTTTTTCTAAGTCAGTTAGTTTTAGTTTTGTTTTGTTTTTCTAAGTCAGGATTTGGGTGGGTCTCCAGGGTTCAGCCATTGCTAGTTCGATTCACTCAATTCATGAGGTACCCTTCGTCAAAGTTTTTTTACTTTCCCGATTTGCTTCAAGTGGATTAATACAGTTTTATCACTTACCCCGAAGCCTGCAGCTATCTCTGAAGTGCTTTGTGATGGGTCCGCTTCCACAATAGCCTTTTTATTCTTCATTTAACACTTTGGTCTCCGGCCGTCCACGGGGTTGGTTCTGAATGTCGAAATTTCCAGAAGGATAACGTTGAAACTAAAAACGTACCGTGTTTTCTTTTATGACACCAGCGCCTTACACATTAATCCTTCGAGCTGTTTCTGCAGCACTGGTGCCACGGTAGAACTCGTACTCGTAAAAATACCAATATTTCATGTTTTCCATTGTGCGGTAATAAGCGATGCCAAAGAAAAAATAAATAATATAACATATATAAAATCAAAATATATTTTTTCAATAAACTTCCTTTTGCGACACATTATATTAAATCGATCTGTTGAATATGGCTTTGCTAAAATTCAATTTTTTGTAAATGGTTCGTATTTTTTTATTTAATTCGACATTTCTTTTTTACGCTCCTTGACAAATCGCTTACTTTTCCAAAGTAAATGTTCTTGAAATATACTTTGAGAATGAATGGATTACTGCGTTTGGGGTGCTTTTAGATCGGTCTAGTTACTGGCTGTCTGTGAAAATGAACTGGCATGTTAATGTAGGTACCCGTGGCCCATGTTTCAGACGAGTATTTCCTTTCCAACGTCAAAACGGTGGACGAGGTAACGGAGACGATGCGGTCGCGCGTGTCGGGCGGCGCGGGGGGCGGCGGCTCGGGCGGCGCGCGCACGCTGGACGCGGCCGTGGGCACGTGGCCCGGCCTCAGCGTGGCGGCCGGCACGGGCGTGTGCCGCGCCTGCGCGAGGCCCGCCGTGGCGCGCCTGCTGCTCTACGGCCAGCCCTACAATCCCGCCACGCTCGAGCCCGTCCAGCCTGAAGCGAGACTCGCTTACGAGAAGGTACGCTACGAACTTTTATCACGAGAATTGACTTTCTGGATAATTCTTTTGGTTTATCTCTAACCCTTTTTAGTCTTCTGGCGCTACTTTAAACAAGCTTTGTTTAACAATTTTAACGTTTTATTTGCTGTGAATGACGGCGCCATTTGGCGTTTATTTGGCTGCGTGACCTGAAAATCTGAAAAATAATATGATTAGAAATATTGCCTAGAAAAATAACTGCAATCACCTTGCACGATTCGAATTGAGGCCTCTCTTTTCAAATTGTATGTGAAAAATTTCATAAACGCTATGTAGAGCTCTCAAATCTACTTATTAAAAACAACATGAACTCACTTTCAGGAGTTCCTGGTGTGTGCGACGTGTTGCAGTCGTGTACAATTATACTCAAGGATATCACATCAAAAGTATTTAATGTACGCCGAGTGCAGTAAACGAGTCGCCGAAAAGAGGATGCAAAATCCCAGCAAGGATACAACTGTGATTCTTAATGAGCTGTTAGCCGATGAAAGCTGGTTATCTCAGGTGAGGGTTAGGTCAGATCAGGCCAAATATCGAAATCTCAAATTTTTTAATAGTTTTATGACTAATTTCAATTGGTGAAGCGAAAGTCAAAACAACGATACGAACTTATTTTTAGAGGAACTTTCACTTCTGCGACAAATTTTCTCCAAAAAAATATATTTTTATAAGACCTTTTTTAATCATTGAACGTGTTTCGATATTTAAAAACATGGATATACAGATCCTATAATCTTTGGACGCCTTTCTTAACATTTCTAACCTAACCATAGTTGCGTTTAGTGCAGAGGAAGAGATGCACAAAATGATGAGATGATAAGAGTTACCTCTCAGCATCTTAAATTTAGGACCGTTTTTACACTCTACAATCTCACTTAAAGTATGTGCATGACATTCGTCGATTCGTAGTCACTATTAGTTACGATCAACACACATTTATCTCCAAATAAATTTTTAACGTATCAGTGTCAAGATCAGGGTGTGTAGTACGAGTTTATTTTATATTAAGTCGATCGTCGACAGCACTGAAGTCGCATTGGAAACATCGTCAATCGCAACGCTGAACGCGGTCGCTGTCGACGATCGAGTTAAAGCCAAAGTAAGATGAGTGAAGGGTGTGTGTGACGTTGCAGCTGTTCCGCGACGTGCGGCACTCGTGGGCGGAGGCGGAGTCGTGGGAGCGCAAGCTGCGCCACGCCATGGCGCGCCAGATGGTGTAGCGCTCGCCGTCACTTCACTGAGGACTATATTTCTATTTCGTTTTTATACAAAGGAACGTGTTGTATGTGCGGAATTGTTTTTGTATGTTATTTTTTAGCATTTAACGATGCGAAACCCGGGGCGGGGTCATTGGTAATTTTAAATGAGGAACTCGTGCGTTGTCACTTTTTTCAATGTGTATGTCTTCTTTTCGATTGGCTGTTACTTAGGCTGTAACTTGCAATACGCCGGTGCCATGTATGCTCTTCCCTTAGTCTACACTATTTAATCTGGTTGTATGTATTTCTATTTTAAAGTATGTATGGATCGATATTATCGTCTGGACATAACAGCATGAGGTCGTATTATATCCGATTTCTCAAGTTTTCAGGAGAATAAAAATAAATTAACGAAAGTTTTTAATAATATTATATTAAATAATGAACAACAATTCTATTCAAGTTAAAAAAAAGGAATGGAGCTACTATTGTGATATTAAAAAGTAATATTGAGTGGATCTTCACATCTGACTTCATGCTTTCAGGTCGACAAGTATTTTTCTAAAACCGAAGGCGGCCTTGGATAATTATTTATTATATCTGTGACATCATATAAGAGTCTACTGTATGCTCTAGATTATTATATAATTTTATGTTATTTTAATCGATAAATCCAACGATAGAAACAAATTAACATAATAGTTATAAATAATGGTATGTTTGAGTTTACAACAAATATTCGCACGTGCAACCAAGTAAGTAATATAAATGATAATATGTTGTTCTTTTTACATAAATATAAATTAATGTTTTAATTACCGCGACTTCTAAGTCAGTGTTTTTGCTTAAATATTGTTCTGAGACCATGATATAGAAACTTTTAATTTAAAAAAAAACTTCTAGTATTAAACTTTAGTCATCATCATCACATCATCAACAGCCTTTAATAGTCCACTGCTGGACATAGGCCTCTCCTTAAAAAGGAGGTTTTGGCCTACTATACCACACTGGCCAGACGGGTTGGTATAGGGTTTGTGTCAAGTTTTCCTTCTTTTTGCAGTGCTGGTGTCCTGCGTTGTTTTGTGCCCTTAGTCGGCTCTTACGACACCCATGGGATGAATTGGGGTAGTGACATTCCGTATTCTTAATCCGTCACTACACGGACTAAACTTTAGTAACAGAACATAATGATACAAATAGTAATCAATAATGTTATTGATGGCTCATAATAAAAAGTAGCTGGATGACCGAGCTTTGCTCGTTTTTTTTTCTTTTGGGAAATTTTCTAAAAATGCTTACTAAATTTCATGAAAATCGTTGGAGCCGTTGCCGAGATTCCGATTAAATATATATACAAGAATTGCTCGTTTAAGGGTATTAGATATAATTGACCTATAGTTATTACTTAGGCGTATTCAAATCATGGAATCGGTTCTCATGTACGTCGTCACCTGTCTTACTTTAATTCTAAAAACCGTCAAATGTTGACTATAAATTTATCGTAGTCACTACTATCAACATCTAACCCGTTCAGGAGGAAATAGTTCACTGATCTACTAACAAATTTGGGGCCATAAAAGAGATGCGTTGACTTACAGGCAGAGCGCTGCTAAGATACTTTTTGCCCTATTAACTTTATGGCATTATTATTATGCAAAGTAATGTTGCATCAACATCGTGTAACCTAAACAAGAAGTGGCATTATTTTTACAAATTTATATCACGAGACGTAATTCCTTTCAATATAATAAAATAATAAATAAAAATTAATAAATTTTGCAACAACACTGACTTAAATTCCACGGTGTAAATGACAAAATAGAGCATATAGTAGGCTAGAAGTTAACAGACAATGTCCTAAAAAATCAGTTAGTTTTTTACTATAGGTACCAGTAATCAAGAGTCAATATGAGTGTTATATTTACGCCTCTGACAATATTAAAAATGGTTCGCAGACCTTTAAACAGGTGTTTAAAGACAAGGAAACCATAAAAAAACATGTTCTTTGAACTCCATAGTAATTTTAGTTGACTGTAGTGCCAGTTAATATGTAAAAAAACTACTTAGACAAGACTTTAGTGGCTAGTTCCTGAAGTTAGTAATTGACAGTTAAATGCAATTAAACATCAGTTAATGATTATCCAATAGTCCAAATTTGACAGTTAGAGAAAGTTTTCATGAAGTCGTTATTTAAAAATGAAGCAACGAAAAAAAGGGCTGCTAAACCTTCAGAAACCAAGTATCGAGGTTTATTCACACGCAATTTAAAAACATATTATGTTTCGGCAGATGCTATTGTCATGTGTCATATTTTATAATAATAGGACCACCTAGGCCTGTAGTTATGACATATTAATCTTTGTAATATAACGGCTGAATTAATAATAAAGTAAATATTCATTTATTTTTACGACTATTCGAAATAAATTAAACTTGAGTCTGGTGGTTTAAGGTGCCGAGATCTCCACAACTAAAGGGGCTAATGTTGTTTGTTTGAGAGGCCTGATAGAACACGTTACTATGAGTATTAGACATGGGACAAAATCACAGTAAACTGTGATTTATCATTCGATTTTTTCGTACGTAGGTTAGGGTTGCTACTTACTCACGCATTAAGACCCTATGTCGCTTATTTAACAGTAAATCTAGTAATTATTTTATTATATATAGGTACCATTCCCTTCATAATAATTTGAAAAAAAAATCTAGATTTACTGCAAACTGAAAACATCTTAAATATATCAAATGATAAATCACAGTTCACTGTAGTTTTGTTCCATGTCTAGTTACCATTAAAACATCATTAAAGAAAATTTTGTAAATGAATAATTTTTCGAGCTATTATTCTCGACATTTTTTTCTGACTTCATTAAATCTCATAATTTGTAATCTCAATTAATACTTTATTTAGACCACAATATTTATTATCGTTTCGGCCGCCAAACAAAGCGACATCTATAAAGACTAAATTGTAAATAATTTTCAGGTGCCAGGTAAATAAATGACATACATGTAAAGTACATAAGTAAAGCCTTAAAAGAACAATTATACCTCAATGTTGCACATTTTGTAATCAGGCCTATAGAGCCGACTAATATTATTAGAAATAATTTTTCGTTTTTTTAATCAGCTCAGAATCATGATTTAGACTGGCTTACACGGGTCGTAGCACACTTATGGTTTTCTTTTCTTCCTTTTTAATGACTAACGATACAATCTGTTATAAGTTGTAAGCTTAACGTTTACTGGTATAACTAAAGGATACTATACCACTACTACTATTCGTTTGTTTCGCAGGTACACGAAATATTTCCATAATTCACACAGCTTGTAAATACATTTATACCTTAAACACCCTTTTTTGAATATTGGTTGAATTAGTCAAGGTTAATAAAAAATTGCAAAGTATTCACTAGCAAATCTGTTCAATTGGCGTGCTGTGAATATGTTGCGACCGGTGTCGGCCAGTGGACGCTTACCTCTATGTAACATGAAGAATTTAAAAATATCTGGCAATGTAATTATATTTATGTCTAAGTTAGATGATGTTTATTTGTTTAAATATTGATGTTGATTTGTAATATCACAAATCAACATCGTCATTACATCTATTATTTAGGGTTTTAATATTGTAACAGACCACATAGAAAATACTTTCCAACCAATTCTCGCTATATGCATGCAGACTTTAACCATGCTCTAATTTTACATTACATACAGTAACTTTATATTATAATGCTAGTTTTAAAATCTACATGGATAAAGCAGGAAAATATAATTACTTTCGGAAACAAGGCATTGGTCGTTTCTGTTTGGTAAATAAACCATATTCATCAGGTATGTACACCAAGCTAAAGTACGTAAGTGGCTTTAAGAAGTGCAATAATTTGCGATAGTAAATTACCATCCATTGCAGCCTTGATGATCTCACTCTACAGTTTTATAAAGGCTTTGTACACCATTTAACTGGATTATGTGTTCGATATCGTTGGGATGTTTAAATTGGAAGTCACACACATTCCTGGAGCTACTTAGAAATCATTTGTATAAAAAATCCTATATTTTAAGTGATTCATTTTGGCACGACAGGTGTTATCTGCCCTATAATTTATAAATGAACAAAATGTGACGATATTATATTTCTATTTTAAATGTAAGTACACTATGGAAAGATATTTTGTATAATTGCTTTAGGTTGTATAGGTTTTTAATAAATATGACTACGCGAATGTAGTCCCACATTAGATATAGCATTGTAAAAAATAACAAGTTCTTTCTGGTAATTAAAGTTAAAAATAACTTTATTTATTTTGCTCAGATTGGACAGGTATAGGTCGTATTTGTTTTAAATCCATTTCTTGCTATAAGACATAACAGCAATTTTATCGAATAAAACCTATTACTAGCAGACTATTTTTCATTTACACATGTTGATTGCCAGCACCACTTAAAACGCCAAAAAATATGTCATACTATAAAACTAAAGTCGCAAGATCCTTTGTTGGATCAAATTCCAAGATACTTTTTGCAGGTTAATTTGTATTATGGCCATAGCAGTGAGACTCCTATAAGTGTTTTTCGTTTGCTAAAAAGTTATTTTTATTTATCAAGTTTTTGGTGGCATCGTTGGTGAAACAATTTTTAAAGTGATGTAGGTGTGAAAGCGTAACCCACAAACAAACTCAATTTTACATTTATAATGGATCCATAGATTAACTCCAGATTATTACAGCATTTGTGCCAAAAGGTGCTCCACACCACTTGTTGACACCACGTAATATTAAAGTAACAGGTGCTACCCCAGTTGGATTACATAAATCACTTATTGTTGATGTTTAGTTTACGGCTTCATTCCACGATCCTGTCTTATCCTTAGAATAAACTTTAAGCTAATTTCTTTCGTTTTAATATATCTATGTACTTTACATTTGTTAATTATCCACGTTTTTACACATGTCCTTTTCACTTTTTACAGAAGTAAAGACGTCTATACAGCATAGTGGTTATTACACAGCATAGTGTTTGTGGTTATCATAATGACCGTGAAGTTATATTAGTCTGCATTTAGCGATGGTATTGTGATGTGATAGTGTATTGTATTTTTTTTTGAGATCTGCAGTATGTATGAGTATTATGTACAAAGTTGATCCCGGCTAACCCTTATTCTCTCCGTACTCAGATCTCTATGTTAAAGGGATGCCCAGTAAATTAATAGACGACAAATTGAAAAATAAAATTTGCATTAAAATACTTGTATTATTTAGCAGTGATGATGCACTTGTCTCTATGAACACACTTGCCACATGAACAATGTGCCTTTGCCATTCCGGACAATTGCCAGTTAGTCAGTGTCAATGTTCACCAACCAAGTCTTCCTCTTTTCTTGGCTGAGCGGTCGTGGTCACATTGAGATGTCCACGTCGGCGGTAGAGGCGGAAACAGCCCTTCGTACAATCCGCCATTTCTCCCTGTTCGCAGACTCGGATAGAGTCCGGATTCCCATTGCGGATCACCTGGTCGGACCACCGCATCGGTGCCCTGTCGCGGAATCTGATTCCCTGCTCTACCAGTCGCAGTCCCGTCTAGAGACATGGCCAAAGTACTGCATGGGCAAAGACAGCATTGTATTAAAGCTTTTATTAAAGAAACGCTTTCAACACCCTGGAAAGGGACTTTCTACTGGGGGAGGTTAAAGAGAAAATTCCTTTACTCTATCCATTTCTTCATCAGGTCTACAGACTCGCTTCTAATCTCTTCTTCGACGATAAGCTAATTATTTCTTAAGTGGAAGCGCAGCAGGGGGATCAAACTCAAACTCGGATCGGAGCACATCAGCCGGATCGGTAAGAGACTAGTGAGACTGCCTTCTGGAACTCATGCATTCTGGCCTCTTGCTAAGGCTGTCCAGGGGAATTTCTGAATTTCCACCCCTGCAGATGGTAGATAATTAATTGGCCTATGATGCCAAGGAGAAAGCCGATCTCCTAGGCAAACTCTTTGCATCCAACTCGACTTTGGATAAGGAGGGAAACGTACCGCCGACCATACCGCGGTGCCAGAGCTATATGCCTGATATCCGGTTCACACAAAAATCAGTGCACTCTTTTCCCTTGACATTCATAAGTCGTGTGAGGCCCGATGGAATCTCTCCTATCGTGATGAAGACGTGTGCTTCGGCGTTGGCACCGATTTTAACGCGCCTTTTTCGTCTCCTACTCCCAAGGCGTCGGCCCGAACTCCTGCAAGGCAGCGTTTGTGCACCCGATCCCTAAAAAGGTGACCACTCTGACCCGTCCAACTACAGGCCTATAGCCATAACTCCTTTGTTCTCTAAGATAATGGAATCCATAATTAACAGCCAGCTCTTCCGGTACTTAGATGATCACCAGCTACTCAATGACCGACAATGTGGTTTTCGCAGGGGTCGCTCAGCTGGTGAACTTCTCGTCTTGCTAACACACCGCTGGGCACAAGCGATCGAGACCAAAGGAAAGGCTTGTGCGTTTAGTTTGGACATAGCGAAGGCCTTCGATCGGGTAAGGCGCTTCTCTCGAAACTCCCTTCCTTTGGGCTTCCCGAGAAATTGTGTAATTGGCTCTCCAGTTTTCTTGCTAACAGAAGCATTAAGGTCATTGTCGACGGTGCATGCCCCGACTTAAAATTCATAAACACTGGTGTCCCACAAGGCTGTGTGCTATCACGCATACTGTTTCTTCTGCATATCAATGACATGTTGCAAACTAGTAGCATCCATTGCTATGCAGATGATAGCACGGGAGATGCCCTTTATACCGGCCGCCCCAATATTTCTCGGGAAAACGTCGTCGAGAGTCGAACAAAGTTGTGTCTGAAATTGAAACTTCCTTAGCGGAGGTTTCGGATTGGAGCCGACTAAATCTAGTTCAGTTCAACCATAAAAGACACAGGTCTGTGCGTTCACCGCAAAAAGACACCATTTGTCGTATCCTCTTAGTTTAAGACCACCTCCCTAACTTCCTCAGCCAGCATCGGCAGTCACTTAGAGGGTAAGGTCAAATTGGCTCGGTGATCGAGGCAGTATTTCACTCCAGCCCACCGCCTTCAGCTCTATAAGGCGCAAGTCCGGCCGCATATGGAATACTGTTCTCATCTCTATGCAGGAGCACCTCAGTACCAGCTTCTCCCTCTGGATCGCATCCAACGAAAAGCAACTCGAATCGTCGATAGCCCAAACATCTCCGATCGACCGATATGACCTTCAAATCCTCAAGAAAAGAGCATACTCCTTCCTAAAAGGCCAGCAACGCGTTTGTGACTCCTGAGTTGCAGACGTTCATGGTAGTTGGGAAGCCCATGATGCGAAATGAGGATTTACTCGAGCGTCATGTAGACCTATTGCATTTGAAAGATTAGATATAGAATGAATAATAGTCATATAATGTTTCCACTTCCAACGGTGGAAAAAGCTTCCACAGGTTTTCAAAAATAGAAGGGGAGGAAATCGAAAAAAATATTAGGGTGCATATATATTTTGGGGATATCTTATTTGGACTCCAAAAATGCTCCCATTAAAAGGTCTGACGATTTTAAAGTGAGAAGTTGGTAGCGAATTATCGAAAATGCAATCTGCAAATTGTAAAAATCGCTATTTCGAAATACCCGACAGTGCTAAATTTTATACAGACGGTTCAGCTTGATGTTCCTGTCATGCTAGCCAAAAATCTGACGATAATTTTGCAGGGTATTTTAAATCTGATGGTTTGAAATATTTTAATTTTTATAAAATGTGACAAGGCACGAAAGATTATGTAGACATTCAAAGAAGATTTGATTGATTGCTTCAAAATAAAAAAGAAATGTCAAGGTACTTAATGTGTTTTTTTTTTTGGCAATTTGTGACCCTGGCTGCTTTATGGTACGCTCAAATGGTCTGTTTTTCTTATAATTATACACACTAATGTGCATGTAATTGACTCAACTTACCTTAATCTTACACGCTCGAGTATTTTTGGTAATTTCAATAAATAAATTATGATTTTCATAGAATACTTTTAATTTGCTTGCACACAGCCTCTATTGAGAACAATGTTAAGGAATATGTAAAAAAGCCTGGACAAGACAAACAAAAATAAATCAGGACAACCAATTACCACAAAACTAAGTTACATCTGATCAATTGAACGACAATAACTCTATCTGCGCGATAATGCAGACCGAAACAGGGCTATGTGCGTGATTGATCTAAATGTATCTCGATTGTACATATTTAATGTGATATGGCCAGTAAGGTTCTTAAATCATAAAATGTCAAAAGGAATAATACAGAGCTATAACTCGCTTAATACCTTTACAGCACATTTTATTAAATAAATATACACAAAGTTGTTAATCACAAATATTAATAATGGATCAACCATTTAACTTTAAAACACCAGTACGCTGTGACACTAACTACATGAGAATTCAGTTTGATTTTAAAGATTTCGAAATTAAAATAAGAGCTTAGCAACATACAACACAGTCAAAGGAAATTACGCGAGCTATAGTCCATTCGTATAGTATCGGTATACATATATAAGGTATACAAATACTACCTTTTAATTCAACAAAGCTCAAAAAAAGCGGGCAGAAATAGTAGCAAAATTAAATGGTTGAGAATGTTTTGCTATATATACTATATTAATTCTTTATTTGAAACAAATATGTATAGAATATCTTAACACATTTATAATTACTATTTAAAACCAACCGTATTAAAAGTACAAAGATCAATGTGGTTTGGAAAAAGGTCCCAGTTGACAGTGTTGCGTCCGTAGAGTGCACGTCTCCTGTACTTAAATTATCACGAGGACGAGGCACGCTCGAGGTACTGAGCGACAGACGGCCGTCCGCTCCCGCACCGCGTCACTAATATAACTTATACAAGAATCTAGAATTACGTAAGTTATAATAATTGCATATATCATACATCTAAACTCAAGTAACTTATTTTTTATGTAGTTTCAATATTTTACTTTTTTTTTATAGTTTTTTTCATTTTTTACCATAATCTCTCGTTTGTTAACCACAGCGCGTTGTTGCCGGTGAAATCTGCCTTCCACGAATGAATTTGTCCATCATAATAATACACTTGTAATGTCGTGGCAATACCGCAAGTAATGCGGCACACCTTCAGAGATCCGCTGGAACTATTCCACTTTCTCCGGCTTGCGCGCGTATTGCGGCGGGCGGGGACGCGTAGCCCCCCGCGGACCACCCCGGCCCCCTCTGCCGCGGCCCTTGAAGCCGCCCTGGTAGCTTTGGTTGTCGTTGTATCTGTCGCGACCGCCGTTTTCATTTTGCTGGTGATTATCTCCCGTGTCACCGTTTCCGTAGTAACCGTCGCGGTCGTCACCTCCGCGGCTCTGGTAGCCGCCGTCCTTGTGTCTATTCTGATAACCATCGTACTGTCTATTCTGGTATCCGTCCTTGCCAGATCTTCCCTGATACTCGCCGGGGTGTCTGCCGCGGTAACCTTCACCTTGCCTGTTCTGGAAGGAGCCGCGACCTCGATGACCGTTGGGAGCGCCTCTGCCGCCACCGCCGCCACCTCGGCCGTATCGCCTGTATCTAGATTGTCCATCCCCCTGGCCCTGAATCTTTCTCTCACCACCGTCCTCGCGGTCTGGGCTTCCAGATTCCTTTATTTCGTCCTCATTGTTGTCATCGGCCGGCGAACTCGCGGAACGTTCTTCGAGTTGCGGAAGCGCGGAGGGCACAGGGTGTGTCGCGGGGTGTGCGGGGTGCGTGCCGGGGTGTGCCGAGTGTACAGGGTGCGCGGCCGGAGCGGGCGCCAGCACGGGTTGCAGCGCCGGCACGTGCACAGCCTGTAGCGGGACAGCGGACGCGTAGGCAGCGTGCTCAGGGTGCGGCGGGAAGTGCGGCTGCGGAGGAAGAGCGATTGCGCCGGGCTGCACGAAGTGCTGGTTTGTGAATGTCTGCGTTGGAATCGGTCCCGGAGGCGACGCCTGATTCGGTATCTGCGGCGGCTGTGGAGTCCCGACGGGGCTGTCGATCTCAGACTCCTGCAGGAAGAAAAAATTCTGGGAGCCGATAACCTCCGCGATAGGTCTCTGCTGTGGATATTGTTGAGCGAAGTATGCATGCTCTACCTCCTGCAATGTGATGGGAGGCAGGGGTCTGAGCGGGTAAGCGGGAGCTGGTACGACGGCTGGCGCCGGCGGTACAGGTAATGTGGGCGGATATGCGGCCTGGACCTCGGTTTCCACTTCGTTTTCGACGTCAACGGATTCCATCTCTGGAACAGGGATGTGGTTCTCTTCGATTTCCGCCGGTAAAGCATCCAGTGAACGATCGAAATAACCACACCCGTGAACAGCGCCCACTATCTCTTTTATGTGAGTGTATGTAGTTCCTAAAATTTCTTTAGGTTTGCCATCAATTATAGCATAAAGATGTTCAGCAGCTTTGGCAGTATGAATGTGAAAACCAGCTTGACCTTCTTCATTCAGCTCATGTTTGGGAGTTACTTCAGGGTATCTGCAAAAAACAACGTTAATTATTTATGAATGTGAATTCACAAAAATAAAGACCTAGAGAATTTTTTAAACTTTGCTGAAAGTATGTAAATTCTTCTCAAAAATTGTTACAACTGCAATAACTAAACTTTCAAGTGTTGTCAACAAAACGCATTCCTACGTTTTCTAAACTTGCCATGCATAAAATTTAAATCACATAAAAAACAATATATTTAAATCGCTATTTACAAATTAGCTCACTAGTGTTATTTAGTTCAAGTTCAAACCATTCATTTTTTAATATAGACTGACAGATCGACAAAGTAACAAAGGAATGAATTATTTTAAATCAATAATTTTCAAGAAATGGAATAATAATTTTATATGACGGGCCTGTTGGTCGAGTGGTTAGTGCCCCTGACTGCTAAGCCGGAGGTCGTGGGTTCGATTCCCACCCAGGACAAATATTGTGTGATGAGCATGATCATTTGTTCTGTGTCTGGGTGTAATTTATCTATAATATGTATGTATTTAAAAATATATAAGTATGTTTATCAGCAGTCTGGTCACCATAGCACAGGCTCTGCCTAGTTTGGGATCAGACGGCCGTGTGTAAAATGTGTGAGGTATATTATTATTATTATATCCTAAGAATTTGACATAAGTTTAGGAATTACCTACTATTGTTTATTATAATGGCACAACCGATCGATTGATGTTAGAGAAAGCAACGAGCGGTTTTGTATAGAGCAAGGCTAAGTGCAAACCTCTAACGTATTTTTGTAGTAAACATAGGACAAGAATTTGCTTGCTATTTAGAAAATTTGCCAGTAGAAAGGTTTCCGAAGATAACAGTATTGTGTAGATAAATAATATTTAAATATTTAGGTAACGTTAACTTGGCTGACAACTCATTTGTGACAACTAGCTGTCATGAGTATCGACTTCAGTATAGTATGAAAACTAAAAACTGAAATAACTTTTGAATGTAAAGTTAAAAAAAACTGGTATTAAAAACTGTAATTGTCAATGATATTACCAGCTAAATAAATACAATAATAATCCCTATAATGCTTCGCAAGGTGGTACCAAAGTCATACATTCCTGCCATTGTTCTTTAAAGATTATTCTATAGGTTTTTTTTTTGTGTGTTGTTGTAAATATCTGAACTGCATCTACATCTATATTTGTAGTGTTTATCATTGCGTTCCAAACATTTTTAAAGAAACTGTGGTGTGTGTTACTTATCACAACACCCCAGTAAATCTCACCAACTCTAATGTTACGCTTTAAGCATATAAGCTATAGACCACAGAAAAGTAATGGTAAATACTAGTTCATTTCACTAAATATTTTTGTTTTTATGTTATTATAATTTCATCATTGTTACAATTTATTAGAATAAAGTCTAAAACTCACAAATCATCAAGAATTTTCAGATCTTCTTCTGTGAGTTTGACAGCTCCATTTGATCCAGTCAGGAAGTCATTTCTAGCTTCAGTATTACCCATTTGATTCAGACAGTCCAATATGAGTAACACCTCACGAATTTTGTTAGTTTCAGCTGCATAACGTACCCAGGCATCCTGTATTCAGATTAAATGTACAATTTTAATGATAAAAGTAATGTAAAGCAATATTACTCAGAAACTGAATAAAGGAAAGGGTATGGATGTATAATAATAATGCCACAACGCCATCTAGTTTGGATTTGCTCACAATTCGAAATTCAAATAAATTTTAATTGAAAGCCATGTTATTTTACAGTGCCACCAACTTATCTGTTCAGTAGACAAAATCGGAACTAAATCTGCGTCAATCTGCGTGTCAGTTTACAAGGTGTGGGTGCTCTCTGTGTTTATCATTTGATTTTATTATTAAAACTACAATTAAAATGCCGAAAGCTCTTAAAAGTGATGCTAGAGTTATTATTTTAACAGTTTTATCTTTTATGAACGAAGAAAAACGCCTCCAATCTCCAAAAATACCATTTGAAAAAGTGCTACAACGTGTTGCTGCCGCTACAGGTTAGTGTTATAGTCTAAGGACAGTAAAATTTCCCACTTAAATTATTTTAATATTCAGCTTATGTTTCATATTTTATTGTCTATATATATCCACTTAAAATTATAAATAAAACTGATACGTCGCCCCCACTACTACTAACTAGTGCACCATTTTACTATTCTTTATTTTCATAAACGTTAAACGTATACCTACATTGTGTTCACTGTTTATTCCACCCGAATAAATAAAAAAATAACATTATTTCTTAAGTTTGATGAGCCACTTTTTGTTACAGGTGTTAGTGAGCGATTTGTTTATAAATTAATGAATGAAGAAAAACGAGCTGAAGAAACTAATACTAAAATATGTACACCTGGTAAAAACAGGGAAAGGAAAACAGGGAAACTAGAAGTTGATGACTTTGATATTGGTGTGATTAGGAGAAAAACCCATGAATTTTATTCAGTAAAAAAAGAAATTCCTTCTGTAACCAAGCTATTGAACATTTTAAGAGAAGATATCAATTTCCAGGGGAAACTGATATCACGACCACAATTATTTTTATAAAATATAATGTAACTAGTTTGGTATAATAAATCGTATTATCTGTTTGCAAAACAAAATATTTCTTTCTTTTCAACTAATTTATAAATTATATAGTTAATTAATAAACTCCGATCAATATTTAAAATTACAGCTCACGTGATTTCGTATGTTTCAAATACCCTAAACTCCTGATAATTTTTTTAAATAGCAACACCTATCGCTCCAGTAGCGACGCCGTCTACTGAACAGATAAGTTGGTGGCACTATAATTTAAAATTCAGTAATTTGTTTTAGATAGTGCTTCGTTTTTGTGAAATTGTGGTAGTCTTAGGCGGGTTTGGATAAACTGAAAATTCGTAAAATAATAATAAAACAAAAGAAACTCCGTAAATAAATGTTTGCAAATCATACAAACATTTGGTCCAACCCAGGAATTGCATATGCTACCACTGCACCACTGAGGCAGTAGTAGTATGCGGTAGTATATATTATGTGTATACAACTCATAATACATACTATTACATTCTGCGATTGGTATTGTTTTATTAGAGATCTTGTAGAGGTAAATAGTTACAATAAAGTGTTTAAAATAAAATGAAATGCATGAATAAGATGAATGTTTTTTTTAAACCAACATGTTTTGAGATATTATAAGCCATAATTGATAGGTGTAAAAAAGAAAAAAGATGGTTTATTTGAAGCTTATTATGGCAAAAAGTTTTATCTGGTTTCTTATATACCCAATCGCAGAATGTTATCGTTTTCACATTGGGCAAAAGGAAGTGAGTAAAATATGTTAAGAAAAAAAGGTAGAGGGAGCTAGGATGAGGATACCCCAATTCCAGACCAGAGTCACAGGCACTGGGAGCTGTAACCATATCCCTCCCATTTTAGGCGCAGTATAGCAGACCAGAATCCAACACACCGCCCGACAAAAGCCCCAGTGGGGTAATCGTATGAGGGGGTTTTCAGATGTACAAAAAAGGATAGGACAGGGTGAGAATATAATCTACGAATAGGATAGGATGGGATAAGATAGCATAGAGTAGGTTTAGGATGTAATCTACAAGCATCAGAAATAGTATCTTACCTTTTTTGCTTGTTTCTTGGCCTCACGCTCGGCCGAAGTGGCTATCCCAGTAACCTGTTTTGATAGGTCCCTTGCAAATTCAAGCGTCTGAGCAACCTCATCATATTTTGCAACAGCAACTTTTTGGTCAGAATTTAGTTCCTTCCCAGCTTTTTGCAGGTCTCGATAGGACGTCAACTTGCTCTACAAGTAAAAAAAATATATATTATATTAAATATGTTAAAAACATATTTGTATGTCCTTTATTCAATAAATAAATCAACCAGATTATTATTGTGTTATTATCTTATTTTGTGTCTTATAGGGTAAATTAAGATTATTAAATATATACATATAACTAGCTATCCGCCCCGGCTTCGCACTGGTGCAATGCAGATACTACTAATGTGGTGTAAATGAGGAGTAATTAATTATACCATTATTAACGGGAGATCTTTATATGCAATAATTATAGGCCCGCTCCGGCCGCTGCCACCCGTTACGGACGTACGGCCGGACGCCGACGCAGTGACGGCCGCTTTTGAATTTTATCTTTAGGGGATAGACATATACCATCGTAGATTTTGTAGATCTTTTTAAGATATACAATTCCGTATTCCATTACTTTGATCTATGTCGTAAGGTTTAGCTAACGTTTGCAATGCACAAATAATGTTTTTTACGATTTCACAATTACAAATCTTTGAAATTCTCGGATTTCCTCTACTATAATATGAATGTGTTATACATATTACCCCGCCTCTTGAATTACTCTTTCTATTGGTGAAACCGCATTAAAATCCGTTGCGTAGTTCGGAAGATCTAAGCGTACCAGAAAAAAAGGACCTTCATTTTATACTATGTAAAGAAGATTTAACTGTACGAGAGCCATGCTATGGCATATATGGGCAGGCTCGACCGGAGTAATAGAACTGCCCTACAGAAAAACGGTTTTATGCCATTCCTTTGTTGCTTTTTACCAAGTGGGTGAGGTTACCAGAGTCCAAGGAGGGACACAAGTGCCACCATCAGATGACCCATCTGCTTGATTGCCTCCTTACGCTATAAAAAGAGTGATATGGTACAATGACGTAGAATCAATCAAGATCCAAATAGTTTTCCAAAATGATTTTTGCTCATTCACTAAAAAAGGAAAATTGACAATGAGACTTCCTTATATACCTTATATCCTATCGTTATATCCCAACAGTAAATTAGCAAAAGAATTGAAAAAAATTGGTAGAGTATTCACATTTAATGCTGTTTCAAAGTAATTTTTATTTGTACTACCAACTTTAAACTTAGTGGACTAAATAAGTCAGTCCAGGCATGGGTCTTAATGTACTAGCAATCCATATTTTCGGATATTATATAAACCATGACACATTTTTAAATGCTTATCTTGTTTTTTATATGATTGATGCAAAGAAGCAAACGGTCTTCTTGAATGATAGTAGTTTTCAGACACTTTTTATACCATTGTAGGGAGAAAAATTTACTTCCCGTTGGTGTAAACAATTTGGTTATGATATCACGATGATCCCTACAGTGGTGAAGCAATGGTATAACTGAGCAAAACAATTCGTCAACTATAAAAATATGAAAAAAAGTAAAATTTTGCAAAGGGCTATACAGCCTAAAATTATTTCTCTGCATAATAATAGGGGTTAAAGTATGAAATTGCCGTGGTATAGTAATAGATACTTCGAATTGACATAAAACCTTCATTGTGTGAGATTTTCGTGTCAAACTTTTTTCACGTGATACCTGTGAGGTTCAATAAAAAAATGTTCAACATTCGATTTTCGACTTTCAATTGTTTTTTCAAATGTGTTATTCAGCTTAGACGTGAAAGATGGATACTTCGAAAGTCCGAGTTCCGACGCGGAACTAACGCGGCAGAAACGGGTCGCAATATCGACTTGAAGAGGAAACTGCTACTGAACGCATCGTGCGTTTTTGATTTAAACGCTTTCGTAATGGAAACTGAATTGAAGGAGATGGTGAAAGCCGATCCGAGTCAAACTACCCAGTAATTAGCGGCATGGTTTAACGAACAACAAATCGATAAGATAAAAAAATACGAAAAATGAGTGCCTCACAATTTGACTGATCTGCAGAAAGAAATGCGTGTTAAATCAGTACAGAAATGCAGGAATATTGAATCGAACTGTGACATGTGACGAAAAGTGGATTGTTAACGATATCCGTAAGCGAAAAATGCAATGGCTGACCCCAGGTCAAACGCCGCAACAGTTTAGAGTAGTACTGCTTGAAAAAAAGAACGAAGAGTTCACCAAGTCGAGTAGAGACGGACATAAGAGAAGAAAATTGTTATATGAGGGAAGATTTCTGTCATGATTAGTACTGTCTACTAGTACCGGAAGTAGGGAGCAAGGAAAGTAGAGAGAGAGAGAGAGAGAGTAAAGTAGAGACATAAGTGCACGCTGTTTTACGGCACAACTGAAAAGGCAACCAGTTTAATTAATATAATTTTCTACATGATGAAACTATTTCTTCTCAGGATGCAGTACAAAATGCTTTCTCACAGTTCGTCGAATTTAGATCCCCAGAGTTCTATCGTACAGGCATACTGTGAACTTCCGCTTAAATGGCAGAAATGTATGGATAATGAGGGTAAATAATTAGATTAAATAAATATGTTACACCTTAGAAAAAAACGAATTTCAATTTTTCAGTACAATTATGCTTAAGACTTCTTTCACTGAGACATAAGGTTCTAGCAAAGCATATAATCATATAGGATCTAACAAAGAAAGTCGTTCGTGTTGAAAGTCTCAACAGAAATAACGTTTCCCTACCAAAATTAGGTTTTCAAATTTTTTTCATGAAAGTGACACAAAGATACTCAAATGTTTTTGGGATAGTAATTAAAAAAATGCTACAACCAGATTTGGAGGGGTTTTTAGAATTGTATAATTGGGAATAATCATCTCAACAACCATTGTCCTACTTGTAATATTAAAAATAAAATATTTTTTATTTTAACTAAGGCATGTCTATGTTGAATACAAATGAATGATCTAACTGGTCCGGCACCACAAATTCTAACAAAACCAATAATCTCGGGCGCCAGGTGCCGGCTTAAATGAACATAGACAACAAATAACAAATACAATAAATACCTGAGATAGCTCGGTCAGTGCTTAGACCTTTAATCTAGGGTGGGGGGGGGGGCAGCTAATAAATAAAGAGATGTTATAAGATTAAGAGGCAGTTTATTTATCCCGCAGTGTCTGTAGAGTACATAGTATATTATAGGTCTCATTACAAATGTAATTCTTATTCTCAAATTAGTACTGTCATTAATGCAATCTGGTTACCTTGATAATACAAATTAAAAGTAAAATATCTTTAAAAGTCTCATAAAGACTGTTCAATACATAAAGAAACTAAAGGTAGTTATCATAACGCCCCTTTAGAGCCCACAGTTTCCGTTATGACAACACCAGCAGAAATTTATAAACAACAAAAGAACATACCAATAACTCCGGCACAGTCTGTTTGGAACTATGGTAAAACTAACTCTTTAAAACGCTCACTCCTGTTCCCCACGCTGTTGTCGTAGTGGCGGGGTAAGTAATCCAATCTTCCTGGTTCCTGTCCCAAGTTAATCCTAATAATGGGCTACAGTCAGAGGACTTTTCCCGCCATTAGGGGTACTTAATAACGGAAATCCACTCTCCAAAGCAAACTAAATCACTGGATCAGGCAGGTAGTGAGGTAAAAACTAGTTGTCACGTAATGAAATTGCAATCTAATAAGAAGAAAAGCCAAACTAATAAAAAAAAACCCTGTTCGGCACAGGGTTCTAAAACGTCTCACAAATAAATCAGAGGCATTACTAATAATTCCCAAGAGGCGAAATAACATTTCCAATAAAAAACTCATTTCCTTAACAATACTGGCAAACAATAAAAGGTGAATTAATCCTCTGATTACAACAAATGGAAACGGATTTCATTTCCATCTTTCAAAAATCACAAACATGTCTACCATGTTGACTTCGACCAGGCAAATTCTAGTGACAATTTAGTGTGGCCAGAGCGAAGAGTGCAAAAAAACTACAATCTAATCGATTAAAATAGACTAAAAAATCTCGACTGTGACGCCAACTATCGGAACTTACTGAAACTTACTGTTTCAGTATGTCGATAATTAACTATTCTGTAATGGTGCAGAAATGCAAGGTTACATACTTAGTACAATACTTATTTTAGTACAATACTAAAATAAGTATTGTACTAAAATAAGTTTTAAAATTTTTTTCATGAAAGTGACACAAAGATTGAAAGTGACACAAAGATACTCAAATGTTTTTGGGATAGTAATTAAAAAAATGCTTCAACCACATTTGGAGGGGTTTTTAGAATGGTATAATTTGGAATAATCATCTCAACAACCATTGTACTAAAATAAGTATTTGTTTTTAAAAGACAACTCCAGCACTAGGAATATATCCTGTTGTGTTGTGGGGGACTTTACAGACATACATGAAAAGAACACAAAGAACACCCAGACATTGAAATACAATTTGTGGATTTGTGTTGCCCCATGTGAGGATCGAACCCACAGCACTCAGCACAGCAGGAAGTGCCGAGGTGACCACTTAAGCCACTATGTCATCCATGCAGTTATTCAAGTATTCAGTTTATTGGTGCATATATATCAAAAGTTTTTTTATATCCGGTATATTATTACTATTTTATCACATTTGTTTTTGTTAAATCATTTAATTCATTATTTTAAACCACTGTAGAAACAATTAAATTATAAAAATCTACTAACATATCCTTTTGTCTTAAAAATTACTTTTTCTGTAATTTCTAGTGTTCATAGCACTTTTAACAGCTTGAACCTCATGGAAGAGAAGATTTATTTTGCTTGCTTGCCAACATAACACTCAAATTTAATCCTTAACTACTTGTTTCTCAAACTTACTTAAGCAATAATGAATAAATCTAGCAGAGATCAAAAAATTGAATGATTAAATCTTTTAAACTACATTGTTTCATAACAAAACATTGTAAATCGTATTTACTATACAATAAATATCATATGTATACTTATTGTGTGAATGTTATTTATTTACGTGTATGTAAAAAAGTACGTAACTACGTACGTATATTCGACGACAGTAGGCAAGTATACAACTTTGTAAAGAAACAATCTTGCTAAAATATCTGCCGGGGCGTATAAAGTTTAAAGCGTCATGGTATTGTTTCATCAACATTCCATGAGCACATGTATGAAAATGGCGTCAATACTGCGGCAATATTTAGCGCTACAAAACTACTGAAGCATTAGTTCTTTCTGATTCTGGCTCAAAAACAATTGAAACTTGATACATTAAGTCGGCAAATAAAATACTAAATCTACACTCGAAAATTAAAATTGTTGCTATTGACTATAGCAGCAGCACTTACCTTTCTTTTCTCCAAATTACGGATTTTGTGTTCAATAATTGTCATAATCTGTCGTATAGGCGAGTTATCCATTGCCTCCGAAGAGGCTGCCTTCTCAGACTTTCCATTCGCTGCTGAAGGCATCCTTCACAGGCAACAACTTTACCCTGATTGCGTATGGTGGTGGTTGGTGGAGGAGATTAGAATTTTCTATCTATCTTTATAACCACAAAACAACTGTCATTCGGCAATGAACGACGCAAGTCGTAAACGCCAATTTTTTCTAAATGTTGGTAGCATAGCATTGACCAACGTTTTAGGGTGGCAATGATTAAGAAATTCTTACAATTTCTTAATGTTGGTTAGGTTACTAAAATGCTTTGGGCAATCTAACAAATTGTATAGCAGCTTGAAAAACCACACCAACCAAAGCGAACAGCAGAGTAACCCAGCGATCTTGGCGTTCATTTTGGACTAGGAGTAAGTATTCATTAGACTAATTAAGTGCTTAAAAAAAATTTGCTTTTTTTATGTTTTAAAGGACAACCCCCACGTTAGGAATATATCCTGTGTCGCGGGGACTTTACAAACATACATGAAACGGACACAAAGAACACCCAGAACAGCAATTTGTGGATCACACAAAGTGTCGTCCCATGTGGAGTTTGAACCCACAACACTCGGCGTAGTAGGAAGCGGCGTGGCGACCGCTTAAATCACTAATCCATGCTATGAGCTATAAGCCTATAAATTATATTCATATCGTCCAAGTTAGTGATAGCTACTTAAAAAATAGAGCCAATTGTTTACATATAAGCATAGAAAATGTAAAAGCTTTATGAGCATCCTTTGGAATTCATTGCACTGATTTGACAATAAATTTGGTTCTGTTATGTGTCAATACAGAAGTTATGAAATTTATACGTAAGAGAAACGCTTTAGGTGTTCAGGGTGAAATAATTGTAAGGTTGTCTGAAAAATAGGGTAAATTGAGGCCTCCGTCTCCTTCTGCGAGCAAGTTATGTTTGCGAAGGAGATGACGGAGCGGGACCGGGAGAGGTTTAGAATATCCTGGCCCGCCAGGCCCGGGAACGGGCCAGGTACCTCAGACATCTCAGGCGCTGGAGGTCGCAGAACAACCTCCGTCCTCCATAAGCGCACGCCTGGGGGTGACATGTGAGGCCATCTGTCACCCTAGCAGAAGCAGGCTGGAGTGCGCGCTCCTCTTTAGGAGGTTCCCACATATGGATAAAGAAACACAAAAGATACCATTTGTCGTATCACCTCAGTTTGAGAGCACCTCTCTAACTGCCTCAGCCAGCATCGGAATCCTAGGCATCGACATATCGATCGAAGTCCTGTTTCCGGGTCACTTAGAGGGTAAGGTCAAAATGGCCTCGAAGAAGCTCGGTGTCCTGAACAGATCGAGGCAGTATTTCACTCCGGCCCACCGCCTTCAGCTCTATAAGGCGCAAGTCCGGCCGCATATGGAATACTGTTCTCATCTCTATGCAGGGGCAACTCAGTATCAGCTTCTCCCTCTGGACCGCATCGAACGAAGAGCGACTCGAATCGTCGATAGCCAGCTCGATCCCTTGGCATTACGTAGAGATGTGGCTTCACTCTACATTCTCTGTCGCATATATCATGGAGAGTGCTCCGAGGAATTATTCGGACCAATACCAGCCGCAAATTTCCGCCATCGTTCCACACGGCAAAATTTTCATCCTCATTACCTGGATAGTTGGTGCTCCACTACTGTGCGCTTTTCGAGACCACCACCGACCACCGAGAGAACCAATCTGTGGAACGGGTTATCGTCTGCGGTATTTCCGGACCGATACGACCTTCAAACCTTCAAGAAAAGAGCATACTCCTTCCTAAAAGGCCGCAACGCGTTTGTGACTCCTGAATTGCAGACGTTCATGGGCGACGATAGTCAATTTCCATCAGGTGACCCGTCTGCTCGTCTGCCCCTCTAACATAAAAAAAAAGGAACATGGGGGATCCCACACAGGAGGGGGTCATCTACACGCCTTGGATGGCCAAGGTCGTCGTCGGGGTACCTAAGAGTTCCTCTCTAGGGTACACCTGGTTACCCGGCTACTGGTACCCGAGACGGCGTGCGGTTTTTGGTTCCAGTCCGACATAATCACCCCACCTGGGTGAGATCCGAGGGGATCTCCGCACAGGAAAAAAAAAGGGTATATTGAGTGCTTATTTCTTATTTAAACAATTGAAATGAAATGAAACTTTCATAGTATTCTGTTATAGTAGGGTTTTTATTTGCAGGGAAATACATCAAAACCGTATCGGGGCAATTTGCATCAAATCACCGATTTTTTTTCCGATAGTGTGGTTAGTCCTATATAGATCCCATGTGTCACAGAATTTGGGGACCGGTGGACGGTTCATTATTTTACTTGGCAACACTGCTTCGTTCTTACTTCAAAATCTTCAAATTGAAATAGAAATTAATTTACGATAAAAACATAACATTAATTTGTGATTTTCATGTCTTTCATCTGTTCAGTACAAGTAATAGTATATATAGTATCGTACCTCGTTATAGAGAAACCTCACCTTCATAATGTTTAGAACTTTAAGAGTAAGTAAACTTGTATTCTGTTTGCTAAATTTCAACGGAAAAGATTAGTCGTATAGATTATTTAACCTCTAATCCCATTTATCACGGTAAACTATAATTTGGCGGCAATATTTTCAAAATAGGTTGCAATTTATGGCTGCTTTCTATTTGCACTTTATTTCAACTCAAGATAAATACGCAACTAACGTTTTTTAGGTTATCGGCAACAGAAGGTGTCCGATGTACATAGTGAAAATATAATTGATGTTTACTCAATAAATTAATATGACACTTATTTATAAATAACGCTTGTAGAGCTCAGCGTGTCAGCGTGCCTTGAATCAAAGACTAATCTGATTTCAGTAAAATTCAGTGATATCACAGTGCATCTTCCCATTGAAACAACTGAATATAATTGGAATCTCATCTTTGTTGAGACTTCCAGTCATGTTTTTTACTTGCACTTTGATAAACACACACACATTTTACTTGTATGATTGGAAATAGTTCCCCTTACTAATATTTGAAAAAAAAAACTTATAAAAATACTTGCCTGTCATTGGCTTTTCAATAATGTGTTAGTAAACATTCCATATTATTGAATTTGGCTGAAGTATAATTAAATTCTATCAAATTTTTATACCATTTTTATTAAACAAATGTAAATTGTAATTTTCAGAATGGAGGTAAATTGCAGCAGGCAATAAGGATGCAGCAGGTTTATTCAACCACAATTAGACATGAATCTCAAAAACAAGAAAAAAGTATGCCTCTATCTTTAAACAATTTTTGACTTTCATTCAACAATATTTTCATTATATACCTAACTAGTATAGTTGAAACTAATCAAATAATTAAGTATTCACACAATATTTTTCAGCTATAAATCAGGTGACTCTACTGGGGAGAGCTGGTGCTGATCCACAGAAGCGTGGTTCACAGGAACACCCTGTCATAAACTTTCCACTAGCTACACATTATAGTTATAAGTATGAATCTGGTGACATTCTGCAAAGAACTGACTGGCACAGAATCAGCATTTTTAAACCTGGTCTTCGAGACACTGTTTATAAATATTTAAAGAAAGGCCATAGAGTTTATATTACTGGTAAATTATCATATGGGGAAGTAAAAATGGATGATGGTCAAGTTAGAACTGCATCTACAATCATTGCAGATGATGTTATATTTTTCCAAAATGCACCACCAGAGCAGTGAAGAAGAGCTGTTTTGATTGTTTATTATAGGTTTAAGCATAATTGTACAGAAATATGTGATAAAAAATAGAGTTGTTTACAAACAAAAATGCCTTTCAGTTCAAATATAATTTTTAAAAGTTAGGGTTATTAATATACTCCTTTGGAAATATTCAACAAGTAATGTATTTCATACTCTTTTTTGTTCTCGTCCCATCATTATTAGCAGTAACTTATTGTTTTATTGATGTGTCTCACATCAATCATCAACTCGTTTTAATTCATTTCTGGGTATAGGCCTCTTTTCCCTTGTACAATTTTACTGGTCATGGGCTAATCTTGCCCAAGTTTTTCCCTTTATTTTTATCGTTGGGGGCAATTCGTGGTTTAGAGGTATTTTGTAAATGTAATCATAAGATGATCTTCGCGCCATCTAAGATCCATAGGTTGGTCTATTCGGCATCTGCCATCTTTCACTCATCCGATATTTCTCGTTTTCCAATGATTTTCGACTCAGAATGATGGTATGAATACACTATTGCAGTACATATTTGTTACTATGTACCTTACACCCTGTATTTAATTTTAATTTTGTGTTTTTTGTTCGTGTTTCGCCGACTGTATTAGTAGAATTTTTTATAGGTTTCGCTTATGAATAGCTGATTTTCGACTAACAAGATTGTTTTATTTATTCTTAGCATGACGACTTTTTTACAGTCGACAACACGGAACAGGGAAATTTTTCTGAGATTTGAATCGTCTTTATGTACTTTCCTCGAATATAAAATTATATCATTATTATTGACATGTGATTGAATATTGATAGTTCTTTCACTTCACAATAATATTGTGGTTTTTAAATAAATCCTTTGTGTGAATCTGGACTATCCTCCTGGAAATTTAAAAAAAAGGAAAAGTATTACAATTGATTTACATATTTGTTTTATTGCACGAATTTCGACAAATAGCAAACAAAGACGATTTTAAAATAATAAGTAGCCGAACTGTAATTAGGAAGTAGGAAATCTATAAACTCGACGAAACAAAACCTAAAATTATAGTTTAATGCATAACAAAGATAAAAAGTGGTAAAGAGCGAAAGTCGTCATCGTCATCTGCCGAGTAAGGTTACTTTGTATAAAATGAGGTAACAAACATAAAAAAAAACAAAATACAGACGAATTGAGAACCTCCTCCTTTTTTTGAAGTCTCCTTTTAAAAAAACAACAAATGCTTTATTTTTAAATTTAATGCAAATAAAAAAATACATAAGTAACGATACAAAACAATGTTTTTTTTTTAATTAATGAAATTAGGGAAATTAAACACTTTTTGCTCTTCAAATCTAATAAATTCTGATTAATTTTATAGTTGCAAACCTAATGTTCTGTTGAAATCATAGATCTGGATAATGCACTCCATGCCATGGTGGCACGCAGTTTTTTTTTTAATTTAGAAAAGCGTCTCACTGCTTTCCTATTGGTATAGTCAAAACAATCCAGAGTCCTGCTGCTACTTATTTGAAACAAATCTTAAAATCTCACGAATTACTATTTAAAAACATACAAAGAACTAACAAGTTCTTCTAAAATTCGGAATATTCTGATCCATTTATATCAATCACTTCAGCTCTCATGTATTAAAATACACATCAACAAAGTCTACATGTACGGTTATGAACTTTGAAATATTTTTACTATTTGAATATATTTATATTTCTCTTATAAATAGTAACAAAGCATTATTTAATGCATTAGTGACTAAAGCAACAAAATCCTATATTCAGCTTAATTTTATCACAATAATTAACAATAAATGTACCGTAATATACTTAGTACCTATGAAATAAAGTTAAACTGCTCATGTTTTACAAAATAAATAAAGCCATTTTTTTATCTTACTTGGTAATTCAACCGCCTCTGTTGTTTAAATCTTGTCGGCAACGATTCTTCATTGAATTTATAAGATTGTTTATCTGATCCTGCAGCAATCGGTCCTAATGGAATTTTAACAAGTCTCAGTTGTAGGGTTGTTGACACTTCGTCCAGGTTCTCTGGATCATGTCCCATGCGTGCTCGATCGGATTGATGTGTGGCGATCGTGCAGGCCAAGGCAATACCCGGTTATTTTCCATTGCCAAATACCGTCTGGTCCTCCGAGCTGTGTGCGTGTTAACATCAACTAACGTCTTGCAGTCGGTTTTATGTAGGTATCGGTCCTGTCGAGCAGTTGTACACTTTGCACTTCCTGGGTGCTTCTCAGCAGGATCCCCTGTATTAACGCTGTCAAAGACGACAAATTAAGCTCTTATACTTGTTTCGTCAGTTGATCGCTTTGCCAAACATGGACAATGTGCACCAGACGAATTTTCTTACCATGACCTTCTTTTTCTTTCATAAGTACAAAACCCGTCCTCCTAAGGTAAAGTCAAGACTTCTCATGCAGCGTAATTTCAGTGGTATAGATAATGGGCTTCTTAAAAAGGATGCAGAGGAGATCGATTGGGTCCCCCTTCTGTCAGCTTCATCAGTTGATGAAATGACAGAAATATTTAATGATAGGCTGATAGCACTCTACGACATACATGCACCGGTTCGACCAAATAAGCTGAAACATTTACCATCACCCTGGCTTACAGATGAAATTAAGAAATTAATTAATCGCAAAGCAGCGGCAAAATCGAAATACAAAGCGAGACCCACGGATTTCAACAAAGAAAAATACATAAACTTGCGGAAACACCTTATTTCAAAGGTCCTTGAACGTATTATCTACAACCAGCTCAATTCATTTCTTTGCAGAAATAACCTCCTTAACCCATTCCAATCTGGTTTCCGTCCCGGCCACAGCACAACTACCTCTCTAGTTAATATTACGGACGATATAAGAACAGGTATGGAGAATGGAAAACTTACAGTATTATTTCTATTAGACTTTAGCAAACGCCTTCAACTCTGTTGACTTCGACGTTCTCCTTGCCATATTAAACTCTCTTAACATATCTCCATCAGCTATTGACTGGTTTCGTGGTTACCTGTTTGGTCGCCGGCAGTCCGCCGGTGTGCCACAGGGTGGCGTTTTATCCCCTTTACTATTTTCAATATTCATCAACACAATCACTAATCAGCTTCTCTCTTCCTACCACCTAAACAAATCTTAATGAGCTGCCACTAGGTATTGACGCCATAAATAGAGATTTTAGCCACATATATCAAAGGACAACAATGTATGGACTCAAAGTTAACCCTAGGAAAACGCAAGTGACAGTAATCGGGAGCTCCAGACTTATCGCAAAAGTTGACTGGCTTGCACTACCATAAATATCTTTTGAAGGCGTAACAAATCCAATTAGCAACTACGTCAAAAATTTAGGGGTCCACGTTGACAAAACCCTTTCATGGAATGCTCAAATACAAAATGTCAGCCGTAAAATGTTTGCCTCTGCCGCCTTTTTAAGAAGATTACGTAATTTCCTTCCGACTGCCACTAGGGTTGAGCTCGCACAATTAATTCTTCTTCCTATCCTTGACTATGCCGATGTCAGCTATATTGATCTGAGGACCAATTCGATAAGCTTGAGAGATTTCAGAACTTCTGTATAAGATTAATTTTTGGCTTGCGCAAATATGATCATATTTCCGAATTTCGTAAAAAACTCAAGTGGCTCCCAATTTGGCTTCGCCGGAATACTCACATCCTCTCTTTACTGTATAATATTTTATTTAATCCTGCAACTCCTATCTACTTAAAGAGACGATTTGCATTTATCCATGACACACATACACGATACTTGAGATCATCAGAAAATCTTACACTAGAAATTCTAACACACTTCACAACTTTTAGTGATACATATTTTACAGTACAAGCAGCACGCCTATGGAATTCCTTACCGCAAGCTATAAGGCGGGCACGGACAGTAAGTACTTTTCAGGGGCGTGCGCTCCTTGTAGGCAGAAATGCAGTGCTTTACTTGCTATTCACAGACATTTTAATAAAACGTTGGTACGTTTTAGATGACTTTAATTAATAGTAAATAAATGAAAAAACAAAATATAATAACTTAAAAACGCCTACTATTTAAAAATAGCACCACACAAACATTGTTTTTTTTTTTTTTTTTTTTTTATTTTGTTTATTAAATGCACAAAACACATTACAATCAATTGAAACATAAATCATAAATACATCATTTAGATCTGGATCGTAACGTAACTCAAATGTACACAAAGAAAAACAGTGAAGATTATACAAAAATTATCTCTGATTCATAATACTGCAAGTAATACCAAAAATAAGTGACAAAGTAAGCAAGCAGCAATTGTGATGTAGATTTGAATGCTAATCCAAACGCAGCCCGCCATGGAGGATGTCTTTCACCAATTTTGTATATCTGTTATAGTTAGGATCAAAAACGTCTAGTAATTTATTGGATTTTGAGATATCATTATATTGACGGGCCATTCTTGTTAATGGATTATAGTAAGAGATGTTATTTTTATATATTTGAAGGGCAAATATATTCGTATCATTAGCCCTACGGGCACTAAATTTAATATTAAAACTGATTAGAGAAAGTAAATCCGGTGAATCAATAATATAATGTATAATTTTGTAGACATAAACCAAATCGACGTAGGTGCGTCGGGTTTGTAATGGCTGGACCTTATATTTGCTGAGTCTGCTTTCGTAATTTAAATTTGACCGACCAGGGCTTTCTCGGTAGTTGAGAATTTTAATGAATCTTCTTTGAATACGTTCAATATTATCAATATGGACCTTGTAATTAGGCGACCATATCGGGCTACCATATTCTAATATACTCCTCACCAGAGCAAAATATAGGTACAAAGTACTGCTGGGATTTCTAAAACCTTTCGTTGATCTCAAAACAAAGCCTTGGAGTTGGTTGGCTTTGCATATTACATGGCTATAATGAGCGCGAAATGAAAGTTTGTCATCAAAAATGATTCCTAAGTCTTTTACAGTCTGTGTCCGATTTATTATTTGACCATCAATATT